TTTCTTACCGATTAGGCCATTAGTAAATGAGGAAGAACTAGTGCCTGAAACGCACGATCCTCTCCTTACTACTAACAATGTGATGGAGGAATTGCATTCAACGCAAGAACCTCCTATCGTCCCACTCAAATCAAATTCGTGCGAAAATTCTCAAATAGTTGAGAAGAACATTTCTCCTGTTGCTCAGCCCGTACGTAGATCTAGTAGACCAACAAAACCACATAAGAGGTTTGTTGAGCTTCTGTTAACGGAAAACTCTGAAATTATGATTTTGGACCGAGAAGAACCTACTAGTTATAAACAAGCCTTGACAAGTCCAGACTCCGAAAAATGGCTGGGAGCCATGAAATCCGAAATGGAATCCATGTCAGAGAACCAAGTATGGAATTTGGTTGATTTGCCAAATGGGGTAACACCTATTGGATGTAAATGGGTTTTCAAATTGAAAACTGACAAGGACGGAAATGTAACCGTTTTCAAAGCACGACTGGTTGCTAAAGGTTTCAAGAAAATCCATGGTATTGACTATGATGAAACCTTTTCACCGGTAGCGATGCTTAAATCCATTCGGATACTTCTAGCGATTGCTGCATTTTATGACTATGAAATTTGGCAAATGGATGTGAAAACCGCCTTCTTGAATGGTTTCTTGGAGGAGGATGTGTACATGACACAACCAGAAGGTTTTGTAGATCCAGAAAATCCTACGAAGGTATGCAAGCTTAAGAAGTCCATTTATGGACTTAAGCAAGCATCTAGGAGTTGGAATCTTCGATTTGATGAGGCAATCAAAAAGTTTGATTTTCTCAGAAGCGAAGAAGAATCTTGTGTTTACAAGAAAGAAAGTGGGAGCAGCATAGTCTTCTTGGTGTTGTATGTGGATGACATACTTCTTATAGGAAATAACATACCAATGCTTGAATCTGTCAAGGAGTGGTTGAAAAGTTGTTTCTCTATGAAAGACCTAGGAGAGGCCGAATACATTCTGGGAATCAAAATCCATAGAGACAGGTCTCGAAGGATGATTGGACTAAGTCAAGAAACTTATATAGATAAGGTTCTTGCAAAGTTCAATACGGAAAACTCTAAAAGAGGATTCATTCCCATGCAACATGGCATATCGCTAAACAAGACTCAGTGTCCAAAGACGCCTGATGAGACTAAGCGAATGAAGAATGTTCCTTATGCATCTGCTATAGGATCAATTATGTATGCTATGATTTGTACAAGGCCAGATGTCTCATATGCCTTGAGCGTATGTAGCAGATTCCAATCAAATCCGGGCGATGCGCACTGGAGTGCAGCTAAGAACATCCTTAAGTACTTAAGAAGGACTAAGGACGGTTTCTTAGTATATGGAGGTGAGAGTGACTTAGTTGTTAAAGGTTACACAGATGCAAGTTTCCAAACCGACAAAGATGATTTCCGATCACAATCTGGTTTCATTTTTTGTCTAAATGGAGGTGCAGTTAGCTGGAAAAGTTCAAAGCAGAGCACTGTAGCAGATTCTACAACAGAAGCTGAATATTTAGCAGCAGTTGAAGCGGCCAAAGAAGCCGTTTGGATTAAGAAATTTCTCATTGAGTTGGGAGTTGTCCCTACCATTGTGAATGGAATTGATTTGTATTGTGATAATAATGGTGCAATTGCTCAGGCAAAAGAACCAAGATCACATCACAAATCTAAGCATGTGGAAAGGAAGTTTCATTTAATCCGAGAAATTGTTGCTAGGAAAGATGTCAGAGTTTGCAAAGTTCATACGGATGAGAATGTTGCTGATCCATTGACTAAACCCCTACCACAGCCAAAGCATGAAAGTCACACTAGAGCTATAGGAATCAAGCATGTTAGTGAATGGCTTTAGATTATGTAATTGATTTTCATAATTATAAAGACATTGAATCATGTAATATTTATGTTTATCAATAAATTATTCTTATTTAATTGTGGTTTAGAATTAAATAAAATGTTCAAAGTAATTGTAATTTTTATAGGTTGTCAAATGCGTGATTTGACAAATGAAACCCTATTAGGAGAACATAAAATTACAACTTACTAGTGTTCCTAGTCTGAGACATTAATGGACATAAATGGCTCAATCAAAAGACTAGTATGTGGATCGATTGATAGCTCAGTTTCATGAGCTATAGGGACATAGAGATGTCTAGTCGATTACATAGATATGCATTGTGATGTGTATGGAACAGACCTAAAATTGAAATAAGATTTCAAACTTATATTTAGTGGATTCCTCATACATGAGAACAACAATCTTCCACGAAATAATTAGTATATCCTTGATGATGTCAAACGCCGTGCCGTAAAAGGAGGTAATAAAGGCAACAATCAGGAATGCTGAAAGTTTAGTGGGAGTATTGGTTGGACAAGAGTGGATAAGTCCTCCTATTTTAAATAGGATTGGTGTCTTGGCCTCTTGAAGAGTTAGAACTGAAAATGCATGGCCGTGCTCAAGTGGATTAAAAGGTTTAATCACTTGTTTCTATAGTTCTTAACTCAGATTTCAAGAAATAATTTGAATCTTAATATGGATGACATAAGATGTTATCATATTATCAAATTGGACATTAAGAGACTTAAGAGAATTCAAGATTGCTCCACTTGTTCTCGGACAAGTGGGAGATTGAAGGAGTGTCCTCGATCAAGTATAGCAATTACTAAATATAATATAGGATTAATTAAGGAGATTATTAATTCGGTTATTTTAGGAATCGTAATGTTTTGCTAGAAACCAACTACGATTTGCAGGCCTATTATTTAGTGGGCTTGCTGCTAATTTAAATCGGATCCTATAAGGTCACGCATAAAAGCACGAGATGAAAAGTACACTAAGCCCAATAAAGGTTAAGTGGACGGTTTTATGAGGAGTCATTAATCAGTTAGGTTTTCTGCTCTAGTAACCTAATAATCTCTATATATTGGGGTTATTATTGTGTATGAGATACACAGATATACAGAGTGAAAAACAACCTAAAATATTTCATATAGAACTGCTTCCCTAAAAGTGAGAAGAGTGAAAAGTATCTTCCTCCTTCTTCCGTACTAACATACGTGGGATTCATCTCGGGTTTTGTGAACCAAGTAGAGAAATCACAATTGAGGTTTTGGATCTTCGAAGGAGGGTAATCTAGGTTTAACGAGGAGTACACGCATCAAAGGTATATCTAACTACTTTATGTGACTCGTATTATTATATGCATGAGATCCTGTTTAAGATGCTAAGAAATTGTTTCTTGAAATTCCGCTAAGTGCATTTATTATAATCCTACACTATACAGGGAAAAATGCAGAGCAACTGCTTACATACTGATCACTGAAGCCAGTGAATGCATCTCCCACAACTTCACCAGCATTACCAGAAACAGGCATTACCTCTGTTTTTGAGTATTTTGTACTCTTGATTGTGATGTTTTTACTCTCATAGTTGTCTCTCCCTCTCCTCCCCCCTTCTCACAGCCTCACTCACTGGCTCTCTTGTTTTCATTCATCAAGGACATGACAACCATGACAGTGGATTTAAAAGAAGCTATTTGGAGTCTGATTTTCGCTGCCTCAAGGTGTGGTGAATTGCCGGAGCTTATCAAACTGAGAAGCCTATTCCAAAATTTGTACGGTAATGAGTTTGATGATAATAATGTAAATTTTTTGCCAACAAACTTTGTGAAGTCAGAGCTGAAGAATGCATTGTCCACTGGTTCAATATCTAATGAAGTGAAGCTTGAATTAATCAAAAAAATTATCAAAGACTATGCTGATATTTATTGTCGTTCGATGAACTGCCAGCAGGTGAGACCGAACTGACACTGAGTTTAATCAATCTGTTGTTCCCTTTCATTTCTTATTCTGTTTCCTGTTGTTACAGGTTTGTGATGTTGTAGATGGAAAACACAACTTTAAGGATAAACAAGCTCTGAATATTGGAAAATCACAAGAGAAGCCCAAGCATACTGAAAGCATGCAAAGTTTACCAGATAGGATGATTCTAGATTCTTTAAAGCCCGACTTGTTAAATGAAAATGACAGGGATTCTGCACTTCAGAAACTCTGTCTCAACGACAAAGAGGTTAGTTTTTGCCCCAAATATCGCTCCTTAACTGCCCTTAATACCCAAAAATAGAAGGAAAAAAAAAATGAAAGAACTATTTTCTACTTCATTAGATGCCATAGAAATTCCATATCATACCAATTTTAATGTTTATTTTTAATCTTGTTCCAGATTTATGATATCCATGAAGAACAGTATGAAGATTTTCGAGAACAGGGTCTGAAAAATGTAAAGGGGTTGTCGAAACTCCCAAAGAAGTCTAATCCTGGTTATATTCCAAAGAAAGCCAGCAATGGAATCCATGAAATGAACTACATTGAGGATGCATCCTCGGGGGGATTATTAGAGAGTACACCCCAAATCCAAGAGAAAGACATTGTCTATTTGGATGATATCAAAGAAAAGACATTGCCTCAGAGTTATTACGACTATGAAGCTGCTAATCTATCTCCAAATCTAAATGGTGTAGGAAAAAGAACAGTTCTTTGCTGTGACATAAATGCTTCTCAGCCACTTCCTCAGGAACCTTCAAAGAAGGAAAGCATCAAGCATAACCTGAAGAAGTCTGCGGGGGATGATAACAAATCAAGAGTACGAACTCAAGCATCGCTACACCAAAGCTATGATGGTAGGATGAAACAAGATATGCAGCAAAGCAAGAAAAGAACAATAAACGGTTTCTTGGAAAAGGAGGGAGGAGATGGAAACAACTTTTTATTAGGTTATGTCCATCCTAGGCTTCCTCACTATGAAGAGCTAGAAGCTAAGTTCAAGCACCAAGAAGCTGGAGTAGGAAAGGGTAGTAAAACTAATTAGCTCAAAAAGTGGTTTTCTTATTAATCTATGGCTTAATATATACTTCACTATATTCATTTCATCCAAGCAATGCTTTCTTAGCCTAGAATAGCATAAAGATAGCAAGGGGAAAAAAGTAGGGGGCGAGAAAACAGGACCATGTATATTCAAAAAAATTGCATTACAGGGGTATATAACCAAGTACATACAGAGATATTAACCCAAAGAATACAAGCCATAAACAAAATTATAAAAAAAATCAAGTTGAATAATGTACTGGATCAAGGAATGATATGCACACACTATAGCCTAAAGGACTTTAAATGGATAACTCACAGCTAGATATAATTCACATGCTCTTGAAACTAAGCAGCAGGCATCAAAAGTTGATTTGTGGAACTGGTGATCCTTGTGCCATATGTATATCGTAGTGGTTAAAATTTGTGCAGCAAGGGACCCTCGCTCCCTTCCGTTATTATCTGCAGTATAAAATGAGAGAACCATCAAAACCGATGTATAAAAATTCTGTGTTTTCTCTACAACTTATTGTGACGCTTTCAGTCTTTCTTTCGACCAAACATGAGAAGCTTCCTGAATCCTTTAGTAGATTTAGGAGAGTTTTCAGCACCATCCCATTTCTTCCTCTGGATGGGATCTATACTCACTTCATTAGTCGGTGGAGGAGTTGATTCTTCAATCTCAGAAATTTCTGTAAAGCCTAAATTAATCCCAGTTTTAGTAGTTTGGTCCTCATCGATCAACGCAGAACCCAGCTGTTTGGGAGGCGACTCTGGCAATGGGTGGATGCTCAATTCTGGACCAGATTTATAATGATCATCAGAAACTTTTTCCTCTTTCGGAAAAGATAGAGATTCTTTAAATATTTTATCATTTTTTTCCTCAAGTAAATCCAAATTTGTGGGATGATCTTCAACAAGGTTGCCTACCTTTTCATCTGAAGTATTGATCTGTTCTACTACATTAACATCCTTATTGATGATTGAAGATGTAACGTGCAGCTCTTTAATGTCTTTTGGATCCTCGGCCTGTACTCCTTGCATAGTTGGCAACTCCATTGTTGGCGTTGAAGCACCAACCTTTTTAGTACCCTTTTCCTCCTTATTGTCTGCAACTGATGAACTTACCCCATTTACATTTTTAATGACAGCTTTCTTCTCCGAAGGCTTGTTCTTTTCTGCATTCACTTTCTTGGCATCTACACTGGCAGTCTTCTGTGATCCAATGTTCACATTAGCACCTTTTACCTTAGCAGCTTCTTTCTTCGGTTGAGTACTTGGGGCTATTGGAGATGTCTTTGCAGCTGCGAGTCGTTCAATGGTAGAACTCCTGAGGATGGGCTTAGGTTTTGACTTATCAGAGCTAACGGTAGATGGAACTGCTTTACTTCCTGTTTGAGGTTTTCTAGATGTTGCAGGGTTACCACCACTTCTTTCAGCAATTCGTTTTTGCCTTCGAATAACTAATTCTTCCATTCTCTTTCTTCTTTCTTCATCCTGTCAAGAGTGATTGTAGAGAAAATAAATCAATGCAAATGGAAATGAATCAACGATGGAAATAAAACGACTTGACAGATAGCTTATACATATGTACCCTAGTTCTGCATTCCCACCCCCCCCCCCCCCACCCCCCCCAAAAAAAAAAAAAAAAAGAAAAAAAGTATCAGGTAGTAACAATGCTCTTTTTAGCAATCAAAGAAATTAGATATTAATATAATTTATAAAATTAAGCTGCCTACTATGAAAGCTCCTTTTAGAAATGATAAATACCTTCTCAAGTTGGGTTTTGGGAATAGATGTTTTACTTCCAAATGTTGACCTTTTAGGCCCTGGTGTAGTATCAGATTTAGTTTTCCTCAACGATCCACCCAAGGTTCTTGATCTAGGGTCCTTCGTGGAAGCTTTCCCACTCTTTTTGTTGTCAGGACCTTTCTCATTAGAAGTCAAGTTTGAGTCTACACACGCATCAACATCTGATTTCTTAGCAGGATCATTCACGGACATGTAATTTTCAAAATCAAGTTCAGGACTCCAAGATGGTTTTATTTGTTCCACCACGGCATCATGATCACGAACCATGTAAATAGCATCCGGTTCATAGAAATTATGTGTTTCAGACTTTTGCTGAGGAGCTGTTGTTCCATTTTTAAAGAGAGTAGTCTCAACAATATCAGAAACAAAGATAATATCAGTCTTCACTTGGGATTCACGGTGGTCATCAGTTAGTCGCCCCTGAATCATGAGAGAATCATCAATAACATCTTTATTTTTCTTCTCGTCCTGATCAGCTGAAGATCTCACATAATCTCCTTCAATAAACCTCGGATGGTTGTTTCCACCCTGATATGCTGCTTCATCTGATTGTTTCCCAACAAACCAATCATCACTAGTTTTGACTATGGAAGAATGGGAAAGATCATCAGACAGTGGCACTCGTGCATAACTTTCTGGGTTTTCACTTCTTTGCGAAAATAGGAATTCCTCAGGTGCGCTACCCCTTTTCATTATTGGGAGGGTACTCTCACTGGGGTCAAAGCCTTGAGCAGAGAATTTACCTGTGTCAGCATCATGTCCTGTACCCTTTCCAGTAACTAGAAAAGCATCAGTAGCAATTGGTTTCTGCTTTGATCTCTCTTCTGCTTCTGGCTTGAATGCAGATGAATTTAGCTCATGGGACCTCTCTGTGGTAAAATATTTCTCTTCAACCAACTCCGAATGTGGCTGAGGATCGTTAGAGTCTGACTCCTCCTCCCTCATTAACAGCTGCTGCAAAGCATCCCAATTTTCATTTCCTTTTTTCCCATTCTTCACTGAAACATCTTCATCTTCCTGGCCAGCGGAACCATTAACAGAGCTAAGGTGCTTGGAACCATTTCGTTTTTTGTGATGGCGAGAGGTTGACTTCTTATGCTTCTCAAAGGACCCAACTGCTTCCTCCAGCTGCTGCTTGAGGGAATCACCATTTATATATTCATCCTCATCAGATGAATTGGTCTCAGAAGATCCATCCTGTTCTCCATCTCTTTTGTTAGTAATATAATTAATATTGCGTATAACAACCTTTCTTGAACCTTTTTTCCCATGCTTTTTCCTATGAGAATGCTCTGACGAAGAGTCTGTCTCAGAACCAGATCCACTGGACTCGGAGTATTCCTCACGATCTTCCTTCTCTGATCCCCGTGCATTAGAGGCTTTTCCCTTCTTTCTGGATGATGATTTGCGATCACGGCGATCATATGATTCATGATTAGCTGAATTATTAACATCAGAAGGCCATGGCATATTTGCAGGGTAATATTGTGGGGGAACCTGCATGCCTGAGTAACCATAGCCTTGATAGGGGGGCATCTGCTGATACATGGGACCCTGAAAGTTACGAAGGTATGGCGGAAATTGTTGTGCCCATGGATGTGGAATTTGTGCTTTTGCATCAGTTGGTTGAGTCTGAGAATCTACATTGTATCATAAGAAAGAATTCAGGAAATAATCCAGAAGATGTTTACATTTTCACAGTGATAACTAAATATTGACGGATTTATCTATGGTCAACCCAATACAAAGGTATGGACCAAGGATAAAACCAAGTATGGAAGACTAATAAAAATGAAAACTGACATCTGACTTGGTATGGAAATCTTTCTAAAATGGCCTATGTGTCTAGCAACATGATTGGAATGGGGAATAAGCTATATATAACCAGTTTTTATATCCATAATATAATTTGCAGCATAAACCACATTAATTAAAATGGTACAGAAAGACCATAAAAAGGTAGTAGAAGAAAGATAAGTGAACCCGGAGATTGATGCAAGCAACAATTTATATGTTCTCATCCGTACTTTTGTCTGTGTTTGTGGAAATTTACTACGTTGGGTATGCAAGTATCAGGTGGGGTGCTATATATGCATATTAAACCGGAGAATATAACATGGAACGTTAGTAGGAGATCGGAAAGTATTTCATACGCACCTTGGTTTGCATCCAAACTTCCATGACTAGTCATAGAATCAGACAGTGACACATCTGTGCTTCCATTCTGCTTCCCCGCAGTCATGAGACCTTGGGAAGGATCATTTTCTTCACCAGCAAGAATAATTCCAGATGTTCCCAAGAATGCCAATTCGGGTTGCACCATAGCCTGCATTGCAGCAATCTCATCCACCCAAAGTCTATCTTCATTTTTCTTCTTACACAGATCCTTGAAATTTATGCAAGCTTCCCTAAATGTGATAACAATGCAGATGTCAGACTTCAGTAAAGCCAAATAGAATACCAAGTTTGTGAGACTAAAATTGAAGTCCGGCTTTTTAGAGGTACGGAAGTTGTGACATTATTTACAGTCCACAGTTTACTTGTAGGTACCTCAAACGTGAAGCTCCAAAAGCATCAGCAAACAAAATGAGGTCATGCAAATTATTTATTTCAAAGCCAGCCGCCAGAGCTCGAGCATAAACCATAGCTTGTTCTTTCCGGAGAACTGCTTTACGAGTTTCCACCACACGCTGCAAACGGGCCCTATAAATTGAAATGCAAAAACAACCAATGACTATCAATGAATTTGTTGACTTCATAAGTTTCATATGACAACACTTGACAATTCCTTACTTGGAATTTTCTTCCTGTCCAAGATCGCTGCTTTCATCCAATTCCCCTTTTGTCTGAAACAGCAATTAAACAAAGAAGCTATCAATAACATTGCAATGAAAATGACAAACAACAGATTAATCTTGCTTTAAGGAATTCCTACCTTAAACGAAGCACCTGAAGCAATAGCATTTCCTGCATGTCAAAATCCAGATTCAAACATTCATCAAACAACTAACAAATTTCTGGTCTTACATTTATAAGATTAAATCTGATATGCTTACGAAATAAAAATCAAGAATTTCAGTTTCCCGGTTTATAAGTTGATCAAAAGATCAAATCAAACATCGTACTTACCATTTCCAACATAATTAATTACAGACATCCGTAGTTGTTAAATATACAATATAAGTACATTACACCAAAGTAGACAAAAGCAAGAAAAGAAAAAGATCCCAAAAATATACAAATAGTACTATAACTACTATACTATTACCAAAAGAAGGAAATCATTACAATCAATCAAATACCATTAACAAAAAAATTAATGGTTTAATTGAAATGATGATTACTCTCCACTTTACCCACCTCACCCAATACATATAATAAAGTTCATTGCATCATAAATCTAGATTAACAAAATCCAGTCAAACTAATCTCCAACACAAATAATTACCAAATCAAAAAAACAATTCAATAATCCAACAAATCCAATCAAAGAACAAAACAATTCTCCCTCCATTACCATCATTATCAGTTACAACACCACCATCAACAACCGCATTCGACGCCTCGTATGATTTAATCGAATTCTCCAACTGCGAAATCTCTCTCTCAATCGTCACAAACCGTTCTAGAACCTCCGGCGTACTTACAAATCTCACAAACCTAATTTAACCAAATCAAATCAAATCATTACACATAATCATCAATTAAACAACTAAAAAATTACATAATATTCCTAAATTCAATAATTAAAAATAAAATCAAGTACCTGAGTACAGTTCCTTTAGTAAACCAGTGAGAATTGACTGAAGAAGAAGGCGGACGAAGTGTAACAGAATAACCACCTTTAGAAATCTGATCTTTAGCAGATCGTAAATGCGCAATGAACGGCGCTAGTAGTCCGTACGCTAGCTTTTCATTCGATTTCCCAGCAAAAATTACCAGTTCACACCTATGTCAAGTCAAATATGATTAAAATTCTCACATATTAACTACCTTTGTTTCAAACTATTCAAATTATTTGCAACGATTTGACATAAAGCGGAGTAGAAAATCAAATCGTTACAAATAATATGAAACGGAGGTAGTATAAATAGTTTGATTATGAATTTTTATTTTTTTTGTGTGTGTGCTGTGATTCAAACCTGGTACGAGTAGGAGTGAGCTGGAACAAGACGTAATCGAGACGAGTAGTAGACTCCATTGATGATGAACGAAGAAGTTAGAGGAAGTACAAGTAATTGTGATGAATAAAAGTATAGAGAAGAAGAAGGGTGGAGGTTGGTTAATGGTGTAACAGAGACATTCTTGAGAAAGTACAGAGAAGAGAGAAAAATAAATGCTAGTGTATAATGGTAAAATTTGTTGAATTTTGCTTGATTTTAATTTTTATTTGTTTATGTTCACATGGAGTGATCAGAGAAGGGGAGGAGAGAGAAAATGGACAGCAAGAGGTGATGAAGAAGAGCACATGGATTGAGGGGGAAGAAGGATGTATTCCAAAAAGATAGACATTTCTTTTTCAGGATTTTTTTATTTTTTATTTTTACGGGGAAAAATGTGGGGCCCGAGTTTTTTTTAGCTTGGTAAATTGGAAATAAATGCCGACAGCCGGCGGACGTCCCGGTAGTTAAGTGCCGTTGTTGTATCGAATTACTACGTACTTCGTATTACAATTTTACAGATGAGGTGAATTTACTGAATTGTATGACAGAGATTCGAGGAGGAACAAATTTAGTATGCAATATTTTCTTGTTTTTATTTGAAAAATAAATAAATATAAATAAATGGGTAGAATTTGTTTGGGAAATAATTATTTCTTGGGTAATCAACTCCATAAGCCTAATTCTTATGTTTAATTTCTTTTTTTTTTTTAATCCGTAGATAGATTATTTACTAGGTTAATATAATAAGCAACGTTTGGACTAGTGGTTAAAATCTTTGTGAAAGGCTTTGATCGGCAAAGTTGGATAATTTAACTGTTTACGTAGAGTCGTTATTTTGTTTGCCTGAAAGCATAATATCATTATGCTTTTGATTGGTTTTTTCATTGTACATTTATTATACTCACTTTGTATAGTTACACGTACTTAGTACATTATAGGTCCATATATGTTTCTTCTTTTTATGGATGATTTACAAAAATATAGCTTTTAAAAAACTTATTTACGATTTTGCGTTGGAATGAAACTTATTTACGAAAATACAGTCCACGTAGGCTCGGTAATACATTTGGAGTAATTTTTTCTTTAAAGACAAACCGCTACCTTAAGTAGCGGTTACAGACTGTAACCGCTACTTAAGGTAGCGGTTTGTCTTTAGTACTCCAAATAAAGATACGAAGTAGCAATTTATAAAGGGTAAAACCGCTACCTCAAGTAGCGATTTTAGTACATAAACCGCTACTTGAGATAGCGGTTTTACTCTGAAAAATAAAAAAATAAAAATAAAAAACTTATCCGAGCCTACGTGGACAGTAGTTCCGTAACTAATTTTCATTACGACGCAAAAGTGTAAATAAGTTTTAAAGTATATAGTCTTTCATTCTTTTAAGAGTATGATGTATATCATATTTTACGTATGCATAACTATAATCTTAATGAATGTTTTAAATAAGTTCGGGATTCTCGGGTATTTTTTGTGTGTATAAATTTGAGTTATAATTTGAAGGAAGCTTAATCATATGAATTTTAGGGAGGCCAAAAAAATGTGATTGGACAATAGCAATCCTAATTTAAATCGTTTTGGCAACTTGTACTTATTAATTTTGTCAAAGAGTCCATTCAACAGAAAGTTTAACCTGATGGTTGAACCCACGATCGATTTATATACTCTATCACGCCCCCTTAGATGAGAGTCCTTTAGGCTTAAAATGTAGATGCAACATGGGCCCTCGCATATGGTCATACCCAGCACGAAATATTGAAAGTGGAGGGTGGATGAGATTTGAACGCGCAACATTTGTGTCACATTGTACTGGCTCCTAGGGGTGTTTGCGACTTCGCGGTGCGGTTTGAATCCTAAACCGCAAAAAATTTGCGGTTTGTATTTTTTTCAAATCGCACCTCAAAATGCGGTTGGCGCGGTGCGGTTTACGGTTTAACCGTATTTTTAAAAAATTATAATTATTTTTTGTTAATTAAACAAAACTTTTATTTTATTTTGAGATTATTAATTTATAATTCAAATATTAAACTCTTATTTTAACCTTTAATTAGCTAATAGTCAAAGATTAGCTCATATATTTTACTTCTTTTATATATTTTTTTAATAAAAATATAGTATAAAAATTGCAAAATACATTAAAATGCGGTTTGCGGTGCGGTTTGGTCTAAATTATTTTAGAAACCGCACCGCAATTTTCAAACCGCAAAATTGTGGTTTGGTTTGTGGTGTAGTGCGGTCTAACCCGCACTCTGAACAGCCCTACTGGCTCCTAATATTGTGTAATGTTAAAGGATCAATTCAACCAAAAACTTAAGTTGATGTTAAATTTCAGGAATATGTTTTATACTTTATCACATCCCCTCACACGAGAGTCTGTTGGGCGTAAAACATGGATACATGGGCCCTCTTCATACCCAACGCTTAATATTCCACTTAAAAATGGAGGGTACGTGGATGAGATTTGAAGCCATGATAATTATGTTACGTTAGCTCCGATACTATGTTATAGGACCAATTTAACCAAAAGTTTAAGTTGTTGATTGAAGCCTAAGATCGATTTATATACTCTATCAAAATTTTCCGCTATAATAAGTAGTATTATAATTCCAATGCATTATGTGTCGATTTAAAGGAGTCGGTAACTAAAGTCTAGTTTACGGTATAATAGCAATTGGTATCTTACAATTCCAATGAAAATTTACAAAATTCAACAAATTTTAATGAGCGATCAGATGAAGTAGCTTTAGTCTTGATTTTTAAGTATTATTAAGTATTAATTTGTATGAGTATTATATACTAAGTACAATATTTTTTACACAATTTTATACTTAGGTCCCATTTGTTTTTGTAATATATTTTTATAAAAAATGATTTTCTCGTTTGTCTGTGGAAAACAATTTTTTGAATGGTGAGAAACATTTTTCTTTTTAGTTTCTTCTCATCCATGCTCATATTTTTACTCTTATTTTAAATTTCTTTATAACTTTTCTTGTAAGGAATCAAATAAAAGAAAACTGATTTGCAATTGTGGTTTCCTTGAAAATATGTTTTCCATGAAACTTAATTTTTCATTGAAAATGTTTTACATCAAAAACAAACGAGGTCTTAGCTTATACAAGTTTTTCTTGGATCACAAAAACTAATATATATACTTTATATAAATTTTTATTATTCGTAATTTTTTTTACTTAACTTATTGATTGTATGATATGCGGTATGACCATATGACAAAAGAATTAAATTTGTGGACCATCGGGAATAACATAATAAGATAAATTGAGTAGTGAGAATACACTAATAATGAAATTAAGTAAAGGATTAGGTGAGTTGAGAAGTCTTATCGATTTTAAGTAGCACCAATAATACTAATTACTAATTTAATCAAAATTAAAGGGAGGCTTATAGTTGAAGAGAATATGAAGAAAAAAAATGGAGGGTGGCCTTCTTTCCACTCTATCTTAGAATTCAGCTGGAGAGTGATGTTGTTGGGTGTGGGGTTTAGAGTGAGCAGAAGGGCAAAGAATATGACGCCTAAAAAAGGTGCCTTTAAAGTTGAATATATCTCACAATTTGACAATCTCTCACATTATTAGATACTTCTTAACATGTATATATAGTTTTTCTACTTTTTTTTTTATTTCCTTTTTCATATTATTATTATATGACCTTGTTGTTGTTTATAAGGAACTAGTACAATGATTGTTTAACAAACAACTCTTACTATTTGATTGTATTTAACTAATTGTTGGTGTTAGATGATTCAATTACTTGATTGTACTAACAAACTAAATTGTTTGTTTGGTTCGGGTTTTGAGTTCAATTGATTGAAGTTATATCTGATCAATTAAGGATATATATATCTCTTTTGTTTTTAATGTACGTAGTTTGGTTCATTCAAATTATTTCAAGTTTTTATTGTCAATTTTTATAATATCCTTTCAAAATTAATCATATTAGTTATTGACTCTATGCAATTATCAAATAATATTTAATTTATAGTTGACGAAATGGTTGGTCATTGAATGTTAAGCTAGAGAAATTCTCTATCTCTAGCTTGAGTTATTGATGACTCTAATTAATAATATTTGTTAGTGTTTTATTGTGCCTAGATGATATTATACTTAATATGTACTAACAAAGAATTCGATCAATTCTTACCAACAAAACGGTTGGTATTGATGAAGAAGTATATTAAAGAGAAATTTTTTATATTTTTAAATTATGAAATTAAAGATAGTGATAAGTAAACACAAATGATCTTTATCTAATCTAATACTAATTTCCTTAAAAAAAAAAGGAAATATAAGCTTAAAATAATTGAATTGAACAGTCTTAATCTTGCTAAAATAGTATTTACACTTTACATAGAGTAGTTACTTATATTAATTATTATTATTATTATTATTATTATTATTATTATTATTATTATTATTACTACTACTACTACTACTACTACTACTACTACCACCACCTCCGTTCCTGAAAGTTTGAGTCATTTACTATTCATCTGGTCAAAATAAAATAACTTTGACCACATATTATGATTTATACAATAGAAATAAATTAGTATGAGGGGTCTTATTAGATTCCCCTTATTATAAAATTTTCAAATATCAAATTTTTATAATTTTCACTAATACATAGCCGAAGATATTCATGGTAAAAAATGTTCATTGGAGACCGTACAAATGCAAAGTGAGTCGAACTTTCAGGAACGAAGGGAGTATTATTATTATTATTATTATTATTATTATTATTATTATTATTATTATTATTATTATTATTATATGAAACTTATGCTATGCACGGTTTGTTTGTATTTTTTTAAATAAATATTTTTTGTATTTACGTGATAAAATTTGTTAATTTATTTGTTGTATGTAGTATATCATTTAATATTTTTATTTTAAAATAAAGTGTGAATTTCTTCTCATTCGTTATATATTTAGATAAAATTCTTAATTTCAAAATATAATATTTTATATTTAATTAATTTAAACTTTAAAATTTTATTTGCCAATTTTGCTTATGTGGCATTTGAATTATTTAATTCTAAAGGAAATTACAAATCTCTTATATAATTAGTTATAACTAAATTTATTATCTTACACGGTGCGTTCAGAAATTTTAATTCTACGTTGATAAATTTTGGGTTTGGCTTGAATGTTAAATACGACCCATAATTCCTTTGATAATGCAGAATATTAAGACATATGATATCATATTGCTTATTTATATAATAGTGTGTTTTTTGTAATCCAGTTTTATTTGTAAATAAATATCTATATTATTATTATTGACTTGGAATTCTTTTTATTGAATTTAAATTACTTTTACTGAACTGAAAGCATTTTTACCATTATTCACTATTATTTTTTAAAATAAATAAATAAATTAATTATATATATATATAAAGGGGAGTTTTTTCCCGAGATTTTAGAGCGCCACGTAGGATTTTAATTTTAAAAAAATTATTAGAGCGCTACATAGAATTAGTATTTTTAAAACGTTACAATAGAATTATGCCACGTAAGATAAGTTTTTTTTAAAAGCGCTACGTAGGATTTTAATAAAAAAAAGCGCCACGTAGGATTAATATTTTAAAACGCTACAATACGATTATGCCACGTAAGACAAGTTTTTTTTAAAACGCTACGTAGGATTATAATAATAAATTAAAAATTTATCAGAGCGACACATAAGATTATTATTATTATTAAAAAATTATCATGAATAAAATTAAATAATTTATTTGGGTGATTAGTGGAACCATTATGATAAAATTTTACAAAAATTAAATAAAGGAGAGTTTTTCAAGATATTT